GATTTCGCGCAATTTCGTGAACTTCGTGTACTTTGTGTGTGTACGTGACGAAAAAGGTCGTGACGATGTTTTTCCTGAGGCTTGAAGTCCTATTTGGATCATCTTCCTTGAATCTTTGCAAAATAGCCCATAACCGCTCGTTCATAAAACGATGGTCTTGTGCCAAAGATGCTAGACATCAAAGGAAAATAGGAATCGGCTGGAGCTTCTAGAAGGGTGAGTCTCAACTCTAGTTTTCTAAGATGGTCCATAGGAATTTCTAGAGCTAGAACCTAGGCTCTAAGGAGGAGAAGAAAAGACCTCACAAAAATGAGGTCAACAGTGTGTATCTAATGATTTAAATTTATTTGAACATCACATGGCATCTCAGACCAATTATATTGCACCTGAACACATACATGGAATGGAATGGATCTACAAAACAAAACCATCATTATATCATATTGCAGCTTACTGCTAAAGTCCTTGCTCGCATCAAAAGTAAAGGTAAATAACTATTTATACTACAATATCAATAGAATGTAAATATATTAAATGTCTGTAGCATTAAACCTACTTTGAGATGCATATTATGAAAAAACTTGTTTTGTGCTCCAGCCTAAGGAAGAAGAAAAAGTTAATACAAGGATCCAGCAAAAAAGCAATATGTATTAGACCCTACTGTAAATAAGTATTGAAAAACATGGCAAGCCAAATTTAGGAAATGCACCCCTTACTTCAAACCACCTCAACTAAATAAAAGAAAAAAAAATTAGACATTTTGATAATTAATTATATAATTCTAACACAACTTTAGGAATTATCAATGCCAACTATTTCTCATGTATTTACATATTTAACACTTAAATTTATTTTTTGTATTTATACAACTCAAATTTTTCATATCACATCAAAAATATCAATTTTAACCTTTATAAAATAAAATATATATTTTAATGCATAGTTAAGCAGCATAAATGTAAAAATTAAAGTTTAGAAGGTACATAAAAATACATAAGAGTTGAGTGGTATGCACGTAAATCTTCCTTATGTCAGCCATGCATAAGAATTAGGTGGTATATATGTAAATACCCCTCGAAATAAAACACTTAGCGATAATTAACTGTGTTAGAATTATATAATTAATTCCTCATGATCCTTTTCAAGATGAATCAAAACATCAGTCCACAAAGTACCTTTAGATCACTATGCACCAATAGCTCTTCAAAGGCATGCCTTCTTCAAATAATACAACTTTTGAAAGAGATACATAACATAGCAAGTTTTATTATACGGAAGTAAAAAACATACCCCTGGCCTCTGCCATCTCGAAAATCGTTAATTGTTTACAAATTGGCCTGCCTAAGTGGAAACAAAGGCAAATATTGAACTTGCTGCTGCCCCTCAAAGGTTTGGTCGCACCACGTGAGGAGTAGATTCAGACTTAAGGTTAGTGTGATTGCTGAACTGATAGTTACAACATAGAGGGCATGGCTAGTAACCAAGGAATTTCACAGTAATGTGGCACAGATTATGAAGAAACAATATGTAACTCTTGTTGTTTATCATTACTGTATAATGTCTTAGCAGCATTGAATTCATTCATAAGTGGGCGTTACATCAAAATGATGTAAGAAATACTTTTCTACACCCTGATGAAGAAGCATATCTGCTTACCAAACTTGGTAGTGCTAGTTTTCTTCTTGACTTCTATTAGAACCCATATGTTTTGCTATTTTTTTTACTTGAAAATTAATAGAGAGATATTATTTCTCCAAAAATATAAAGAATATATGGTTCTAACAAGCTATCATCGTCATAGTATCCACGGTAACGCTTAAATTCCTCATATAAACTATCATATGGAAATGTTAGTGATGTATGTTTCTTCCCTGGTATTAAAGTCTGGCATACTTGAAGATACTATAAAATGCCACCAAGTCAAACAAGAAGAAAGCTGAGATATAAATGGGAAATTCACCTGAAGCTGCAGCGTGCGGAGAAGAAAATTTCGGACGATCTCGGAATCACCCTTGAGAAGAAAAGCAATTGCAGACGGAACGAAATCACGAATGAAAACCTGATCATAATTCAGCGCCATCTCCGTGGGATCGTTCGCAGCCACAGTCCCCACCGGTTTACCACAGTAGTTTACCGCAGCCCTTTTCAACAATCTCTCCACCGGTCTTTGCGGGGTTTGATGTCTTCTTGTTGAGGTGAGCTTTCTCCACCTCGACCTTGCCCTCGTCCCCGCCCTTTGCCACGACCTCGCTATCTCCACCGTTGCCGCCACTACTCGACGATCCGGAAGAAAAATCGGCTTCTCCGTTTTTTTTTTCATTCATGGCATCCATTCTGCATACGTGAGCAAGAGGTGCTTCTCCTCCTCTTGGTCTTCGTAGCCGCGAAGTCTCTCTTCGTGGACTTTGAGACGACCAACGACCTCATCGACGGTCATGTTTTTGAGATCACCGAATTGCCCGATCGCGGTGACGATCTGCATGTATTTTTGTGGTACGGATCGAAGGAACTTCTTGACGACGGAGATCTCCTCCATCTTCTCTCCCAACGCGCGGATGCCTGTCAAAATGGACGTCAATTTTATGGCAAAATCGTCCACCGTCTCTCCGTCCTTCATGTGGATTGCCTCGAAGTGAGTCCTCAAGGTCTGCACTTTTGCCTCCTTGACTCGCTCCACGCCGACGTGCATCGTCTTCAGTGTATCCCATGCTAGCTTGGCGGAATCCTTCTTTGTCACCATGAGAAGAACATCCTCCGGTAGCTCTTGATAGATGGCAGCGAGAGTCATTCTATCCTTACGCTCTTCGACCTCGTTTGCTCCACGGCGTCCCACACTCCTTGAGTTTGTAGGTTCACATGCATCTTCAACGCCCACACCGAGTAGTTACTCTTTGTGAGTAACGGATAAGAAAGCGTTACGTTCCCTTCTCTTTCGATCTTCATTATTGTCATATCTCCTATGATAGTTTTGCTCGGTGACGACATGTCCTTCGACTTAGGCTCTGATATCAAATGTTGGTTCTAATTTAATGGATCACTAAAGGACAAATCGAAAGAAAAATGAGATTGGACTTTTGGAAATTCTTTTTTTATTATTTTTTAAGGAGTGAAAAGATACAAGTCTGGAGTGTTTGTTTTACATTGCAACACAACACCCAATTTATACTAACTAATGTATACCGAAACAAAAAAGGAAACGTACACAATAAAGGCAAAGAGAATTAAGTGTCATCAATTAGCGCCCTATTTGAATTGATTACACATATTTGAATTTTGAATTTGAATTTAAGATTCAAATTCAAAATTAATGTTATTGTCATATCTCCTACATTTAATTCAAAATTAATGTTATTGTCATATCTCCTATATTTATTCCACTAATCAATTCATGCCTATTATGAAGCCACTAATTGTGTAATCAATTCAATTGACCAATTCAAGATTAGTGTCACATGTTTTGCTATTTTTTTTACTTGAAAATTAATAGAGATATAATTTCTCCAAAAATATAAAGAATATATGGTTCTAACAAGTTATTATCGTCATAGTATTCACGGTAACGCCTAAATTCCTCATATAAACTATCATATGGAAATGTTAGTGATGTATGTTTCTTCCCTGGTATTAAAGTCCGGCATACTTGAAGATATTATAATATGCCACCAAGTTAAACAAGAAGACACCTGAGAAATAAATGGGAAATTCACCTGAAGCTGCAACGTGTGGAGAAGAAAATTCCGGACGATCTCGGAATCACCCTTGAGAAGAAAAGCAATCGCAGACGGAACGAAATCACGAATGAAAACCTGATCATAATTCAGCGCCATCTCCGTGGGATCGTTCGCAGCCACAGTCCCCACCGGTTTACCACAGTAGTTTACCGCAGCCCTTTTCAACAATCTCCACGCCTCTTTCTCTATATCCATTAATTTCCTGGCCTCCGGCGCCTTGGCTTTCGGCAAAGATACATCGCAGCCTCCATCCACCTCCGCCTCAGAGCTATCGGCGACGGGTGCGTCCACGGTGCCATCCTGGACGTAAATCTCCTCGAAAGTGTTTTTTCCCGTGAGAGGCTCTGCCGAGATCGAAAAGCATCGGAAACCTGGGATGGCGAAGGGGATGACGGAGAGGAGTCTTCCCGTTGGAGAGAACTCGGAGGAGAAACAAGAAGGATCTCCAACGGGCCGCCAATATGTAGATGGTTGGCGTTCAGGGAGTCGGAAAAGAGAATAATTTCGAAAGAACCTGCCAGCTCCTATGAGTTCTTTCATTTTGCGACAGAGAGTTCTCGCTTTGGAGGCCGCCATGAAAGTATCGAGAAAGAAGAAAAGTTGATTGCATGAGCTTTTAGCTTTCAGTCAATAAAAAAAAAGAGTCGGATTTACGGAAGGAAGATTTAATTCCTTATAAATTATTGCATCCACGTTGCTGACAAATAAACATATTTTATTTGGCCAAATATTCAAGAAATATTATTTTAATCAGAATACAATTAAGAATGTATAGTAAATATTTATCCCTCAAACTATATTCTATTGAAATACAGTTTTTGGCTCCATTTATAAATATTTTTATATTTCTACATTCCCACTGGGTATATTTTTTTATAATATTTAAATATTAAAAGCATATGTTGAAATTCTTTTTATGATTTTGACCTTCTTCGAATTACATTTACACTTGAACAAATTTTGAATAAGATTTGAACTTTATTGTAAAAAAATGTTTAATCTTAATTAGGATAGAATTTTAGCTTGTTGTCATATGCATTCTAGAAAGGTTGCATATAGGAATAAAGAAGGTTCAACTTTTGTTCAAATCTTATTCAAGCCAAATGATAAAACTTTTTTTTTGTTAAGATTAACAAAATTTTAATTTTCTTACTGGTGATTCATATGTAATTTCTTAAAGTGTTTTATAGTAAAAGTTTGAAAGAAAACAATTAAGTTCTCTCATAGTGTTTTTCGCAGTAAGTATGGAACTGAAGTATTATCTTTGAAATCCTTATAAATCTTAAATAAAATTTTAGATGGTTTGTTAAAAATCAATGTTATTTGAACTTGAAGGTGGGCTATTATTTTGGTTGCCCACAACTCGTGGCTTCAACTAAACTTATATATCCATTTAACGACACTCTTCTATTTGTGTGTCAATTAAGAAAAACAATAATTCACTAGAAGATGATAACCTAGTCTAATCAAATATTTCTATATTGGAAGAACATAAATGGGTAGTAAATGAGCATGACTATATTTAAAATCATTTGTCCCAATGATTTTTCTTCAATCACATGAGATGTTTCAGGTAAGTTCATTCTAAATTGGTCTAACTTCCTAGATATTGTAGCAACTTGAGAAGCCAAAATAGAGATCATATCAGTATCATGAATACTGACTACTTTCTTAGGATTTAACTTTTCAGAGGGCCATTAAAAATTATTCGTCATCATATTTTTAATTGCAGAATATGTATCATCAAATAGTTTCGAAATTAATGAACCACCAGCAGCAGCATTAATGATAGATCTAAGGGATCCTACTAAACCATTGTAAAATGTTTGAATAAGTAACCAGTCTGGCAAAGCATGATGTGGAAACTTTCTAAGGATTTCTTTAAATCATTCTCAAGTTTCGTATGTTGACTCGCCTTCATACTGTGTAAATGAGTTAATATCATTTCTAAGCTTAGCAGTTTTTTTAGGTGGAAAATACTTAGCTAGGAATTTTTTCGCTAAATCACTACAAGCTCTGATAGATCTAGGTGCTCAATATGCTTATGTGTCACTAATAGGCAATTGAAATAAATAGATAATTTTAATAACTCATATTTTAATTGTATTTCTCAAGGAAAAGAAAAAAGTCTAAGTCTAACATCATCATTTGATATGCTATCATATTTAAATGTAGCACATAGTTCTAGAAAACTTGTTTGGTGTAAATTTGGATCCTCCGTTGGAGTTCCACCAAATTGGTCATTCTGTACCATTTGGATTATAATGGGTTTTAGTTCAAATGAGATAGCCACTACAACAGGAGTTTGTATATTAAGGTGAATTTTATCTGTTGTAAGGTTTGCTTAATCCATTAAAGGTCTTTATACGTGCTGATGATCAATTTCAATATTTTAATTATCTAAATTATTTGTCATTTCTTTTAAATTGAGAAGTTTTTTTGCTTTCAAATTTTTCTTATAGTCCGTTCTAATACAAAATCATAAGGGTACTAAACATTCAGATCCTGAACTACGAATAAAAATGTAAATGTCCAGAAAATAAAATTAACAAAAACACTCATAATACTTAAAAATATTTTTTAACATGCAAACAAGCACTTATAAAAGAAAACGACACAACAATTTTCCTAAAATAATTTACAGTTTAATTCTAATTTTTAAGTCAAAAGCTCTGTCGCTTCCTCGGCAACGGCTCTATAAAATTATCACTACACAATTTGTGTGTGCTTGGTGTGTAATTACTTCAATTTCAATTAACAAATAATTCTCGTTTTTCTCCACAATTCAATTTTATACGCTAGGAATACTACACAAGTGCATGTATCATTTCAAGTAATATAGGAATTTCTGTTAATCTCCAACTATCGATCCATGGGGAAAGGAAAACTATTCTCTTATCGATTTTGTAAAACTTAATTTAAACTGCAGGTAAATTATTTACGAATTAAGGTCAAAATTGTATGTGTAAAAAGAAGTAACTAACAACTACAAATTCTATTCCTAAACTTAAAGAAAATGCTAAATTTTTCTAAACTAGTTTATGTATAATAGTTCAAATTGTATGGAAAATTATTTATCCTTGCAATGAAATTATAATCAGTATAGGAATCAAATGTTTATAAAATTAAAATGTAGTTTTTTTTTTTTTGTGAATAGGAGCATACATATTCCTTACCCTCTTCCGAGTGCATAAAGAACTTTGGCTAACTGAGATTTAAGCTCCTAAATCCTTAGTTATGTTGGGTGGATTCTAGTCTGTCACTCTATAATACCCACATAAGCCCTCAATTTAGCTAATCAAGCTTTAGGTTCCAAATACTAGATTAAATTGGTTATGATCTTATCATGTCATCCTAAATCACTAATTTACACTTATCAAAACTTATCTCCCTATTTATTTGTACTACCCTATGGACTACTTTTTCTTCACCCAACGATGTGATTCTTACTAGAGGAATTCATAGCCCTCAATGGTCATTATGATTCACAACAAGTTTTAACTCATCAGTTGGTCAAACTGAATAAGTAAATTAAGTGCAAAGTAAAGAATCATCACAATTATGAAATAAAAGAAATGTCAAACAAGTCTTACCCTACACATGATTATTTCACATCACAAAGAGAAAAGATAAAGAAAACTACTCGTATTTCATGGGGAGAAAACAACAACAACACATGATATATATATATATAAAAGCAGACTTACACAATAAAATTTAACAAAACTCAAACAAAAATACAAAACACTTATCTCAAACTCCTCCCCAAGCAAATCTTATAAAGTTCCTTTGAAGAATTCTTCTCACAATTACTCTCAAATATCACCCAAAAAACCAGAAAATGAAAGAAATATATCACTTTTCCTCCTCTCCTGTACTCTAAAGTGTTGGACATATTAACCCCTCCACATTTTTCTCTCTCTCACCCTTCTTCTTTCTCTTCTTCTTTTTTTAGGCACCAAGAGACTTTTTTTTTATAACAATTGAAATCCCTAAGAGTTGTCTTAGACGCCCCTTCAAAATTCATTCAAATACAATTTACAAAAAAAAACTAAATTTGGCACCTATGCACCTAACTATGGCGCTTAGGCTCCAACCTTCTAGAAGCCTGAAATAACTGCCAGACACCTAGGTGCCAGATCCAGGCGTCAGGCTCTCTGTTTCTACTTACAGGGTCTAAAGCCTAAACACCAGTTCACTTTTTGCTCATTTGCTCCATTTGATCCCATTTTGCTCTGTTTTTTTTTTTCATTTTTCTCCAAATCTCCATTTCTTCTACCTGAAACAAAAAACATGCAAAATATCTTCTATTAAAATGTAATATCGTTAAAAATGAGTATAAAATATATATTTAAAGTAGCGAAATTTTAGGCATGTCACATAGCTCCCTCTTGCTTTGGCGAGACAAGTGGAGAGTTTCTCCCCAAATTTTCAATGAGGAAACTCTCTACACAGTCGTGAAAATGGGCTACCTACAAGCTATTCCCAATTTCATGGTGCTTAAAAGCTTTACAAAGTGAGCTAGCTACACAACTTTTCTCACTTTGCAAAATCTAACCTCCCAATTTATCCAAGAAAAAATTGGGCATTCAAAGTTGGGGGAGTAAGAGAATCCAACCCATGGGATTTTTTTGTTATGGCTCACAACAAGGGGGAAACACTCGACTATACGGGGTGTTTGGCCACACAGAAAATCCTAACTTAAAGTTTTGTTATAGGAAGACCAACGATCTATCAAATGGGCACATAGCCACGCTGGTCGGCCACGCAAGTTAAACTAAGTTTTTTGAATTTTGTTAAACTTTACTCAAACATGTTTGTAGTTACATAAAAAGATTTTAAGTTGATTTGGAAATTCTCCAAACCATATTCAAACCTCAACATTCAAAATATTATAAACTTGCATGAATTTTATTTGAATCTTATTTGAACTTTGGATAACTATTCATGGTTGCTTCAAATAATGTTTAAACATATATCAAGTCTTGCTCAAACCATTGAATTGAATAAATTATAAGTTTGCTTGAATTTTTGTTCCAACGTTGATTGAAAAATAATTCAACATGTTAGTTTGAATAATGTTGGAGCTTGGTTTGAAGCTTGTTTGAGCCATGTTCAAACTTTGAATTGAACAATTTAAAAGCTTACTTGAAGTTTGTTTGAAACTTTTTTGAATCTTAATGGAATGTACTTGGAGTTGGTTTGAGCCATTTTGAATCAAGTTATATCAAATACAATTTAACCTTAGTTAAATTGATTATCTTAGTTGTAATTGTTAACTACCATACTCTTTTTGTGTCATTGTTATTTTCGTTCGTTTTTCTCTCTTTTATTTTAGAATGAGTCGTCAGTCTGTCGATTGTCGTATACTTCTCTTTTCCGAATGAATCTCCCTCTCGAATCAAATCAGTGATTCAAAGAGAACAGGAACCATAAAAGATGAATATACAATAATGACGATAGATAAGAGAAAACACAAAACATGGAGAGCCTACGTGTGGTAAACCTCGCGAGGATATGCTAAGAGTGTGTGCTTAAACAAGATCAGGCGAAAGCACCTTAAACTGATATCCACAAAAGAATATCTATGTAGACTACCCATAACCAAAGATTCAAATGTAGGTGTTTGT